TGAAAATCAAAAAAGGACTTCATCGCATCGGGGTGTACAAAAAAATTGGGTAATTTCGGATTTTGCGTGAGCGCTCTCAAACAAAAGCCTACACACAGTTTAACAATGTATTTGCACACACTCTCTCAAAAGCAAGCAAAAACTGGTAAAGTAGTGGGAACAGAACTGAACGCACCCTCTTTTTCCACCTCTCCAGCTCACTGCTACTCCTACCAGTTTCATCGACTCGTTTGTCAGATGAGCATCGATCGCGTGGCATAGCTCGGAACGGGAACCGATTGTTTTCCCTTGTCCGGAACTGCTGGAACGAATTCAGATATATTTTGTGCTGGCAAAAATCAAAAACACAACTTTTACCAATTGCAGAAAATTTGAACAACCCGGATAATTCGCTAAACCGGGGGACAACTTTTTTCGAAATGACTAATAGAAATGTAGAAATTTAAGATCTATGGAACTAGCAGCACGTTAAGCGAACTCAAGGAAATAACGTCGTGACCATTCCCTGTTGAACCTACAGGGCTACTCCCCGGAGGGTAAAATTTGGAAGTGCACAGGAGCTCCCAAATAAAGGGCTTCCAAGGGTGGGATAGGAGGAACGTTGCCCCTAGTATCTGGAGTCGGTCATTCGAGAACTTTTATAGGATATTATGGCTGAATGCTATTGATGAATCGCATCCGAGCTCTGGCACGACATCTACGCAAGAGCTAATTTCGATGGGTGGATGTATGAATTACGTACCCTGAAGGCACAACCCTCGAAATAGATCAGTAGGGTTGATTCCTGTTCAGGAAAGGTAAAGCGTGAGCAGCACATAGGGTGTACCTATTCTGACACCCGAAATTGCCAGTTACTGGCTCTAAGGCCTTAAGATGATCATGGAACCCAACACGGTGTTCCGCCCCACAAGTCGACGGCCTACGCCTAGATTTTCGTTCGTATCTATGCACTCTCGTCTCCAATTCTTTTCTCTCTCCTCAGTACCCGGTGTCTGTTATTTCGCCATTTGTCCCCTATGCTACTCCACTTCGTGAAAAGGCACACATTTCAGTATTTCCCGTGATGTCCTTGCTTTTTTCTTCATGCAAAGGGCAAAAATTAGTTATAATTCCTTGCTTGTTAACGTTATCAAGAAAAGTCAAAAAGAAATAATTTTAAATGCATATTTCTAAACAGGTGAGGGCAGAGCTGCACGGTTCGCGACGCGTGTAGACTGAATTTAGACCGGAAACTTAGAGGCCGTTTCAACCTGACTGTTTCACTCAAGTGATTCTGGCTACATTAGCCAATTTCGACTAGGTGGAGTTCTAAAAACAACGATAATATCATTGTACGTAAATATGATGTTTCAACTGCAGTGTTGACGGTTGAGGCCACGGAGGCTTTTCGGGGTTTCTGTGATTTTTTGGCACTATTAACCCCCTACTCCTCAGAACCCAGCCGAATCTTTACTGAAATTAGACGTGGATTTGGCTAGGAAGTTGTCCCTGGGGTACTTCATCCCGTAGAACAATATCACATTCGTTCAGCGCGAAAACGCCTGGCGCCCGCGCCACAAATGTCGGCGCCAATAGGCGTCAGGAAGCTTGGATTACCATTCCGTGAATAATTTGCCGTCAGGGATAGTTCGACCAGTAGGTTATGAATGTCACATTAGTTTATTGCGATTGAGTTTGTAACCTGCACATGGGCGTCGGCACAAAGCTAATACGATAGAACCAACGTCCGTAGCACGGCGCCACGCATATCGCGCTAAACCTGATGTGATATTCGTGTTCTACGGGTCGAAATACCCTCGGAAACAAGTTTCTAGCCAAATCCTCAGTCATGGACCAATTTCGATCAAAATCCGGCTCAGTTTTGAGGAGTGGGGCAGTAAAGGGTGAATACTGCCGTTTTTTGCTATGTGGTAAATCGAACCTGTTCATCGTTCAGCTCCCCATAAACCGACTGACTGAGACGCGAGAGTGAAGTGCCGAGCCTGTTGCTGGCATCCGCTGATGAATGCTTTGTTACTATGAGTTTACGTGCAGCCGTTGGTGACACTCTGACGACGACCATTTCACGTTCCTGACGTTGCACTGGCGCTGGTGGAGGTTTTATGAGCATTGTTGCGGTTTTTGGGCTAGCCACAGCGGAAGATCGATGATCTGAAGTCACGGCGGTCGCATTCGAGATTCTAGGCTCACAGTTTCGCTCGACGAGGGCTCGAGGAGCAGGAATGGGTCTCGGCGGCGTCTCGGACATCTGAAAAGGCGCATTTGCAAGATTTGGTTTGACTTGCTATCGGAAAAAATATTGGTATCAGGGTTTTTCTAACTTCTGCAGTCACGATTACTGATTTCAGGATATTTCGCGATGACTAGTTCTCTTCTATACAATTTTCGTCCCTTACCCCTCCCTCCCCCCCCCCCCCCCCCACGACTCCAGTTTCTTCTCCACCGTCTTATTATGCCATGGTTGCTATTCCAAAGCCTAGAGCCATGATATTACTAAGAGCGTTTAACAACTTGTTGCGGAGGCGGCTAAGTCTTCGAAAGACAAGATAATTGCACAAGAACTGGTTGGGAAAGTAAAATAGATCGGCCCATGGCGATCCCCTATAACTCATCGCCTCGTGAAAGTGCCCAAAAGAACAGAAGAAACTAATATCTCATGCCAGTATCGCTCAGCGACAAGCAAGCCGGCTGGCTTCCTCGCCCAAGAGAAAACTTCGACAACATGACTAACCACTCACAACTCTTATAATAATATGGAAATCATACTTCTCATACCTGTTATACATAAGCTGCAATTCATGCCTATTTAACTTCCTTTCAAAAAACGTGAACAGTGGTCGGCTCGCAGCGACCCATACACAAACAAGTGACAACGCCTCCCACAAAAGTGTAACAATTTTTCTGCCACTATAAATGATTAGCCTGTTGTTCAGTTGTAATTCTATCAGTTGTCACTAATTACAACTATCATTTCACCAAAAATCAGCTATCACTATGAACCACTAAACCAGATTTACTTGGAGGCCGTCGTCACTTGTGGTGTATGGTCTGCACCCGACGCTCTTCTCGTTTTTTGAAAGGGAGGGTAAGTCAACTGCAGATCATTCTACCTGTTCAGAAGGTACAGGGGTAGGCGCTGACGGTGCACCGTCTGCATCCGAATCCGAAAATAGCCATCAATGTTGTCGCGTTCGAAGTCCTGGAGAAAAACGGTAAGTAACCAACAGAATCAGTAGCACCACCGTTCCACTCACGGTCTACCCTGGCGTATGGCCGAATTCAAATTTTTTGCTCCTTTGATAAGCAACGAATCTCGAAGCAAGCGCATTTTCAGCATGCCCAGCCTTGGAGAAATCCACTCACGAACGATCCTTCCTTGATTCTTGAATGCCGTGAACTCTATCGAACACACCCAAACACCGACCCCACAATCTCTCCTCAGAAGCTCCGTCCATTTCATCCTTTTTCGCGACCAAGATCCTCTCAAAACCTGTCAAAAGAAACCCGCAAAAATCAAATTTCGCTGCCGCTTAATTATTCAACATGACCCCTCAATTTCCACCGCTATGACCCTCTGAAAATTTTAAGTAGGACTGGCCCTCTTTACCACAGTCACAATGCACAAAACCTAGAAATACGGCGCCCTTCAAATTTCAAACGGTTTCGTAAGGCTATGCCATATGAACGCTTAACGTCTGCTTCCACTGACCTTTCGATCTCTAGTCACCGTCGAAGCTGCGATCGCTTGTGTTCGAATACACAGAATCGCGCATAACATCATGAAAAGACGTCGTCATAAGATTTTCGAACGAAGAAATCCACGAGTTCACGTTATCGATTGGTGTAGTAAGGCCGTCTTCAGGCAGCTTTGAAATGCTACCAAGTCCACCTTTGCCGAACCGAACGCCGTCGTCATCGGCTCAATTACCGATGATGTCATCAGATCTCCACTGGCTGATAGTTTATCGTTTAATCCACGTGCTTCGTACATCGATTGACGATGTAAGGGAACTGGAGGCGGTTTCGATGGCGAGCGTGTCTGCAGCTGAAAAGAAGCTATGACTATTTCGTTCGCAAACACAGGTTAAGTTAACGAAAGGCATCCTCCACGATAATCTCATAAAATGAGCCAAACATTTGAAGGGTGCTTTGCTCTTAAAGGAGACGACACATGCCATCATTGCGACAGAAAGCGATTTAAAAGCGGTGATACTAGGAGTCAGAAAATGGGTAGTTTCACGCTCCCATGTAACCCGACCCTATCTGAGTCTCACTATTCCCTATCCTCTCTCTTACCCTCGTCGCCAGAGTCTCTCGCCTAGCACGCACTCTCTTCTCCGTAGGCTAGTATACCGTGCTCTAGAACTGTTGTAAAGTGAGCTTTGATCAGGCAGTATTTGACAGTTTTTTTTTGACTCTTCCCTCCATGAGGGGTCATACGCGCATGCTGTTTCCTTTTTGAACCCTCTATTCAGGTACTGTTATCGTATCATGAAATTCTAAGGGTGGCACTGTTTTGTTCGTCAGGTACTGGTAGAAACAAAGCTGGCGGTTCAGGACCGTAGCGCGAAGTTATTGTAAAGGTAAAAACCGTAAAGTCGTTTACGGTATCGGCCAGAGCATGGTGGCGCTGGGACTTGCAATCAGGATGAAAATCGGTCGAGGATTTGTCGACGACTCGTCGAGGAATTTTCGCCTGTTCAGTTACGCTTTGCCTCGCGGATTTCGCTTTCGACACCATTCACACTCAGTAAAGAGCCATGCTCGGGAATTGGCTTGAATGTTACTCACCCTGCTTGCAATGATGCACTGAACTGAAAGCAGTATGAGCATCGCATCTAAGCTATGGTTGCGGCAATACTACCTCTTCCTCCTCAAACGGCCTTTTGGTACGTCCCCCCCCCAGTCACCATGATCAATACAGCCCACTGATCCTCAGCGGTTTCAATAGAGTATTCCTAGCACCCCGCTCTGACATCTCGTTAATGCTGGTGCTAAGTGACGTGACACGCTCCAAGCTCCAT